TCAGCTCGCAAACTTTTGCTTTGGACTGTTCTGTTCTTTACCAGGAAATCTGTCTTTAGTTGTTCCGAAATCAGCTGAACCGACAATGGCGCTGAAATGCTTTACATTACGTTTTCACGACGGCTGACATTTCAATTTGTGTGGGAAGAAATCTAACAGGGTCCCCAGGAACTCTGCGGAGAACATTTGTTGCATCTTATAAACGTTATTTATGAGTTAAATGAAATAAATGTCTTTATTGATATCGAGGGTTAGGCCGCTGTGTTTTACACAGAGGTTTTGAAGGAGCTAAGACTACGTACGTATTATTGAATTTCCCCTAAAGAAGAGTAGAAAGGGAGGAAATATCGTCAGCATACGAGTGAAAACACATCGAGTCAAGAGTTCAGGCCATGAGAAATATGGGTAACGTTGGAAAATAAAGTATTTCTTAATGATAATACTTGTATTTCGTAACAATACTATTAACAATATTAATAATATGGGAATGTTTTATTCGGTTTTTCAATTAAGTAAAAGGAGGGGGATTAAAAATGATAAATTCGTATTGTAGGAAAAATTTTCAATTTGAACTCAGTACTAGAAAAATCGATGTTATGAAAATTTAGGAACTGTTTACCAATTTGAATATTTCTAAGACCTGAAAACCCGACCCAACATCGCCCATCCGTAAGCCAAACGATATGTCCTACATTTATTCCTGGGACTGCAAACACGGGACCCCGCATGCGCCTTAAGCGATTGAGTAAACCTCAATGAGAATGGCGGCTTAAAGCGAAGATACAAAAGGAATAAAACGAATGCATGCATTTTGAGCTCCTTGTACTTTACGTTGCAGCTCTAAATTGATGTCTGTCAATAGGAAATCTCAGTAATCAAAATGAGTTTTGCATGCGTTTCAAAACATGCAGGGACGCGAACACTTTTTGACTGGTTTTATCAATTTGAACATTGCAGTTTAGAGTATTATCCATTTAAACACCTTAATTTTTCACGTCGTTACATCACGATAGACGAGTTCCATTTATGCAAATATCGGGGAAAGCGGAAAGTGATAACTTTGTAGAGTGATTCTGGATCCGATTACCAGACTCTGAGATTTATAGGAGTTTAGCAGTAGCTCCATTGAAGACGACCAAGAAGAGAGACTATGTAGATCATCGTTGATTTTTTGAACAGTTTCAATCAATCGAGAAGGTGGTTCGCGAATATACAATTGGAGATCAGCAGCATACATGTGACAACAATTTTTTATTGACTTGTCTGTATCATTGACATAAATAAGGAACGTGAGGGGGTCCTAACACTGAGCTCTGTGCAACGCCGCGTGCTATTGGTAATGAACACGACACACTGTCACCGCACACAATTTTTTTTGTTTCGGTTAGTTAGATAGCTGGAGAAGAATTTGAGGGTGGATGTGACACATGCAATGTTTTTTTAACTTTGCTAACAAAATATCGTTGTCGACAGAATAGAATGCTTTGCTTAAATCGAGAAGGACGAGCATTGCGTTTTTACCGTTGTCCATTGCGTTTCTGACGTTTTCAATTACACCGAGTACCGCAGTTCCCGTGATTTTACCGTGTCTAAACCCTGACTGGTTTTTGTTCAAAATACTGAAATTTTGAAGGTGATGTTCAATCTGTTTCCTGGCGATCGTTTCGAGAACTTTTGAATAATGTTGGCAAGATGCTGATGGGACGGCAATCAACAAGCGTCATAGGATTGGTGCTTTTAGGGAGAGGATGGACAAGTGCTGTCTTCGAAGCCGAAGGAACTCCGCCGCTCATTAGCGAGAAATTTATTATGTCTACAATTGTTTGGAGTGCTACTTCAGCTCCGACCTTCAGCAACTTTTCATTGATTCCGTCGAAACCGGAGGCGTTTGATTTTAGACTTAAAATGATTTTAGTGACATGGGTGGAGGTTACTGATGTAAAGTAGAAAATATGTCTGTAATACTAATATCTGTGCTTCGCAGCGAGGATAAAGTTCGAGATTTTGGGAATGGATTTATTGGCTGCGCAAGCTTAACAAGAGCATGATTTGGCGAATCAAGTGGCACATTTATTTCTGTTGAATTTCGAATATTTCCAACACCTATAGTTCGCAAGTTTTTCCAGAGCAATTTGGAATCACAGTTATTTTGAAAAATGGAGTGATAATATTTAATTTTGGCATTTCCCACCATTTGGGTGACATAATTTCTAAGTTTTTATAAGTAGCATGGTCTTTGTTGTTTGTTTTCCGAAAAACTTTATACGCAGTGTCCCTATCATGCATAATTTGGCGAATTTCACCGGATATCCTCGGAGCTGCGGGACGTGTCACGCGTGACGTCTTTTGTGACGTCTATTTACTAGTGCATTCAACAATTCTGTAAATACTGCTACTTTACCATTTAGTGTAGTTTCATTTTGATTCCAAGGAACCAAAAATCCATAAGAAACAAAGAAATTTGCGTATAATCTCGATATTTTACTATTTTCAGTGTGTATTTGAGACACTTTAGATTATACGACACGTAGATAAGATGTTTTGATACTCCTGGAGTGGAAAATTGTTCACGAGAACGCACTCTTTCTAGATTTGACCTTATGATATGATGTATTCATGTTTCAGTATCTCTTGTGATGTGAGTTGTCTTTAGAGGAAGAATCGTTAGGTTCATGTTGCAAAAAAAATAAAGAAAGAAAGAAAGAAAGAAAAAAAAACACGAGCAAAGTTGTCGGATGAAGCAGATTTTTTCAATACGTTATAATTGAAGTCGCCCATTATAAGAATGTCCTCGTATCTAGTGACACTGAAAGCGAGTACGTCTAGATCATCGATATTGCCTGATTTAGGAGGAGAATAAACTACCGCCTAGAGACCTTTTTTCTTGAGAGATTAAATTCAGCAATTAAATATTCGGTGAAGTGGTCTTTATGATTTGCTGAAGAGAAAATAACTTTGCAGCTAATGTCACGTAAATAGAGACACCACCGCCGTGTGCAGGCACGCTGGGTTTCCTATCTGATCTCCAGAAACGGTATCCGAGGACTTTAATGGTTTGATAATTTAAAGATTTTTTAAATCATGTTTCGCTAATGAGTGCGTGAAATTTGTTTCATTTCAATTTCCTGAATCTCGGAGTGGTGGCAAAGGGATTATCTATTTAAATGAGCGACGTAAAACAGTTTCTGGAAGTACTCGGCGCGCTGTCTGCAGCGCCCTGGGCTGGCAAGGAAGGGGAGTGCACACATGCAGGAAGCGGTGGCTGTGGAGTGGGGAAGAACTTTGCATTGGGTACACGGAAATTCCTAAATCGTCCGCCGAGTGCTTATGACAGGAAGGAGAATGAAGGGAGTGAGGAAAATCTACAAGAGAGAAAGAGAAAGGAAAAAGCGGCCCGAAGCTCTTGAATAGCTTGATTGAGTTAAGCTCAGCCATTGCATGGACGCGGAAGCGTCTGTTCCCTGTGTTTATCGCTACTTGCCCGCCATTCGTCCAGACATTCCGCAGCTCTTTAGGCCAAATATACTCAATTTCTTCTGCTGTACATTTCCTGTTGGTCGGTCTTCACATCCAACTGGGATTTCAAGTTCAGAATCTCGCGATCCCTGTCTTCAATCCTTTTCATTGAAGGACATTGATTCCTTGTCCTGAAATTGTCATTAAAATCGATGTAATTAGCGAAATTATCATTAAAATTTATTAAACTCTATTAATTCAGCGAAAAATGTATTAATATTATCGGAAAATGTAAAAAAAGTGACTTCGAAATCGACGAAAAACACCACAAATGAAACGTATAAAAATTGGTCATTTCCTTTTGTCATTCCTAGAGCCCGGAAGTTTGACAAAATGCTTTTTTGTTATTGTTACTATTTTATGGCTTTTAGCAGTAGGAATCTCTTAATTGTACTTGTGGGGTTGTTTTAGTAGATTTTAATTTTGCCATTTTTGCGTAACTTTAGCTTCTGATGCCTATTTTTTGCATTTTCACCATTTTTTGGCTTTTTATGCCTTTTTCCTTTTGATTTCGCTTTTTTCCTTCCTAGCATCAATCGCTATCAAGTTGAATATATACCTACAGTCTGGACAACACGAAGGCACGATCGTGTTTTGCCTTTCTGTGCTAGAGGCTGTGATAAAAATCTAAATGAAAAAGAAAGATGACACCAGTCGAGATTTGGTCCCTCACGAGGAATCCCACCTTAAGTTTGAGTATTGCCGACAATCCCTCTTGAGGATATCTCTCTGTATATGCCTGCTAGCTTACACGAGTGCGAGGAGCGAAAAGTATAATTCCTTCTTCATTCATGACATCAAGATCTAAAAGGGAGTTCACAATTGCGTTTCTGAGAGATAACGTCGTGAGTAAAGGAAATTCGAAGCCATCTGACCGCGTGATCATGTGAAATCAACATTAAAAAGAAAATATGGTTTTCTTACACGATAAGTGCTGATGTAATTTTTAGAGTTTGAGGAAAAATGTGAATAATTTCAATTAGTAACATTTTACAATGTTATTTTAAAATATATTTTTTCATAGTCTCCATGCCATTTTGCGCCCTTTAACTGGAATAAATGCCTTTTTGCATGCCTATTTTGGGAAAAATTAATGCCTTTTTGCATGCCTATTTTGGGAAAAATAAATGCCATTTTCTTGCCTAATTCAGGTAAAATAAATGCCTGAACATGCAGGATCTAGTCATTACATAAGATTATTTTCTATTCCTAATGGTATTGTTCTAAAGTGAAAAGAAAAAAAGATATTTCATTAAAACCCGCTCCCTAGATATTCTTTTGTATTTAAACTTGTAGAATAATTATAATTATTTAATGTCATCTGGTAATTTGTTGTAAAAGCATATACTAGTATTAAATATGAACTCTTTGTAGTGTGATGTTGATACTAACACCTGATGATTACTGCGTCATATTTTATAAACCTATAGAAATCTTGAGATCAATAAATTATTATTTTTTTATAGTCATTTCTGTTTCAACAGGCTTTATAAGAAAAATTATTCAACAGAGAAAGAAATCGACTGGTCTCAGAGTCGACACCTACTGTGTGGATCAACACCATCGTTTATGTGGCTACAATTCAGATATGTGAAGTACAATTTCCGATTTAAAAATTTTAAAGGACTGAGAGGTTAGTATATAGTAGTACGAAAATACAAATCAAAAGTTTGCTCCTTTAAGTTTTTTGTTCCTTAATTTCTAGAATTATTCAATCATATTTTGATTGGGTTGTCGGAATATATGAATTCATATACTCATTGAATATGTTTCCTTGAATTCATTCTTATTCATTTTTCAGATTTTATAAAAGCGGTATATTCACGGAGGAAAGCTTTTAATGGTGCATCACGTTATCTAACTAGGTATACAGTAAATGAAGACTTTTCTTTGAGTGTTGTCAACGACGAATGATTGAAGAAGTAAACTAAATGTAAATGATGTGATAAAACCGATTTTGTACATGAAAATCAGTTAATTTAATTTATAAAGATTAATTTATAAAGAACCTCCAATTTATTTTTAATTTTTGTATCATTTTAATTATCCTTACCAACAGTATCCTTGTATCTTTATTGTAAGTAGGCATGTGTATCAAATATAAACGAGACTTTTTGAATAGCACTATTGAATATTAGAAAAATGTTATTTTTTGCTGGTAGGCATATTGTGGCGTCATATCAGGCACCTTGTACAAACGTAATACAATATTAGCCACGTGCATTTCATGCTCAAGGACAGCGCTGGCGGGAAGAGATGTCTGGCTGAACAATGGCAAACCTAGGGAGCGGAAGGGAAGGGGCGCCGTGTCGTTGGTGGCCACTTGTGAACCCCGTAGATCACTTGCTTGGGAATCCTGTAGACAGGCTATCTGCGGAAACGCGTCGGCGGAAACAGCGAGATGACGCAGTTCCGTCAGCCGGCCCAGAAAGTAATATAAACGGATCCCGGACCTAAACTACTACTGATTCTTGGGCGCGTCTAGTAAGTCGTGTGGGTTGTGCGCGACGCTGCATTTTAATGCATAGGCTACTGAGGCAAGGAAATGAAGCCGGCGTGCTACGTCGAGATAGGAGGTGCGGCATACTCGCTTATATGCTCACGTAGGCAACTGGTGCATCACACCGAATATGATATTAAATTATCAGGCCAGCGGTGGTGGTGACCAGGAACATTCCTTCTGGTTAAGGGTCAATTATTGTACATAGTATTCAGGTGTTGGAATATATTTAAAATAAATACTCAATAAATTACTAACCGTTCACGTCTGTGATTTTTTGCCCTGGAAAAGACTCCACAATATCTAACCTTCAACAGTAGTAAACAGCATTGACAGTGTGTCACTTGTGTATGAAATTAATCTTTGGGATCCCAGAACACAGGCATGAGGACTTTACTAGTTATCAACAGCCGTTCCTTTGGCTTTTATGACCACTTCTAAATAATTGGTGCCACTTTTAGGATTTGGGTTCAAATGAGTTTCACCTCCAAATTGTTCTCACAATCACTTCAAAATGTGAGTTGATTTCAGTGGTGGCTCATGATTAGGTTGCACAACCTCCAGATTATCGAAAAATATTTAATAATTTGTTAGGAATATACATTCTTCATTTAATGACTCAGTATTCAAGTATTGCTGTAATAACGGTAAATGCGAAATCCTTTTGTAATCAAAAATCGCTCAACTGGCGCCCTCTCAGGAATTGCACCACGCTCTTTTCTGGGCCCTTGCTTCTATTACTGCATTTACTCTTTGCCCCCCGCGCCTCAACATTACCGTAGTGTCAGCGTACAAACGACTCTGACAGTTCTCTCGCCACAAGCAATCAGCTTGTGAGGATTCGTTTACTTTCTCTCAGCCAGCGTTCCGCGTTGCTGCTCAGCTGACTCACGCGAAGTCGCGTTAGCGAAAATATTTGGCTTTGGCGAAAGTTATCAACAGAATACCCAGACGTGTCGTAACCTGTTTGTAAATGTTAATGTCTTGAGATTTAATTTATCTGTGATGGTGGTGGGTAGTAATGTATGACAACAGCGCATTGAACTGTT